CAGCATAAGACATCTTCAACAAAAGGGAAACATTTTACATCAGCTATAATTACAGTGTTATTTATATTCTAAACAAATTCCAACTGTATTAGTAACGGTAAATAGAAAAATTGTTTTCTGCTCCCAGAGGCTGTAATTTGTTTGCTGTCATAGGCCATTACTACACACAGTGAAAAGGGCTCATCCTGACTTAGATGAATCACACACACCCGTGATTACTTAGGTCTAGCCATTTAAACTTTAACTTGAAAGGAGATGGGGAGATGTTTGTTGCTGAAGAACAATAAGATTTTTTTTCAGGCCACAAATATGCATCCAGTATCCTGACTTGTTGTCCACGCACTTACTGCTAACAGCTATGAGCCTGTGAATTTCTTCAGTCACATCCTGCCTATTCAGCTTTGTTAAGAGCCTAGTCATTGGATATTAACCACGGGAATTTTGCTGGACTCTCAAAGAGCCACAGTACCTTGTAAACAAAAACTTTGTCTCGTTACGTTTAACTACAATATACAGTAGTACCTCCAGACTAAACTCCTTCTTGTCACAGATATTATGAAAGGTAAAAGAAACTCAATGGATTGTGCTATTAGCTTTTTACCAAAGCATATTTTAAAAGGTAAAGGTAAAGGTTCCCTTGCTCGAAAGCCAGTCGAGTCCGACTCTAGGGTTGCAGTGCTCATCTCCGTTTCAAAGCTAAAGAGCCAGCGCCGTCCGAAGACGTTTCCGTGGTCATGTGGCCGGCATGACTAAACACCAAGGCGCACGGAACGCTGTTACCTTCCCACCGAAGTGGTACCTATTTATCTACTTGCAATTTCTTGCTTTCGAACTGCTAGGTTGGCAGGAGCTGGAACTAGAGACGGGAGCTCACTCCGTCATGCGGCAACCCGGGTCTCGAACTGCTGAACTACTGACCTTCCACAGCCTGCAGTTCAGCGCCTTAACCCCTTGAGCCACCGCAGCTCCTATTAGCTTTTTACCAAAGCATATTTACTTGCTACTTTTTAGTATTTTCTACTTTAAAGAAATGGAGTCCATTCTTTGGTTAGGTTGATTAGACTGCAGTATGGCCTTTGTGAAAACTGTAAGTAATCTGACGATTAAGGGGATAAATGTGGAACCTCTTATTTTTATGGGCTGGAACAAGACTCCATCCTTAGACTTTTCTTTCCAGTTCCTTCAGTTTTTGAAAAGTGTTACAACAATAAACAACTTGTTTTGGCATCCTGTACCAAAAGTCAGTAGGGAGTTTATTCATATCTAACAGTGTTTTCCTACACAACAAGTTGCTGCTACACAGAGCTGAATCAAGAGTATTTATTTATTTATAAGATTTGTACCGTCTTTCTGCCCCTTCAGGGCTGCCAAGGCAGCTAACAGTTTAAAAAGCATCACAAAATCACATAATGAAAACAATTAAATCCAAAACTAAAATACAGACAGTTTTTAAAACGAAGGGCAGGGAAGAGGGATTAAGGGAAATGTCAGAAAAAATGAAAGCGGGACAGACAAAAATATCAATGGGAAGAGGGTTCCAAAGTTTAGGTGCCACCCACCTATCAGAAAAGGTGGGGCACCCAAAGAACAGCTGACATAAATGGGAACAGGTAGACTATGGAAGCTACTTCTTTTTCTAACAGTGCAATCCTGTGCAGAATAACTCTGCATAGGATTGCATTGTGTTTTAGGTTGCAAAACTAAGAATACTTTCCCGGGAGTAAACCCTAGTGATTAAAATGGGAATTACTTCTGAGTAAAAATGCTTTAGATTGCTCCCTTAGAAACCTGCATTCAGTATCAACCTCAACTAATTTTCAAGTCCAATTACTGGCAAAAAAACAGATAGAAAAAACACCAGACATTGATAGGGGAGGAACAGTGTTGCTCATAGAACTTCCTGCCTCACAGACCTCCTCCCCACCATAAGAGTACTCTTTTCAGCTGTAAAGAAAACATATTAATAGTGGCTTTGACCACAGAACCCTAGATCAGTTTCTCCGAAGGAAGACACGATTCATACAGGCAGCAAAGTGGAGGTACTCAATTATTGCCATTGATCACTGTCCAACGTTTCAGCAGAGAATATGCTTTTTTAAAAAACAAAAAACCCCAAACCTGATATCTAGACTGGGTATCAGAGACGATGGCTGTGATCACACACACACACAAAATAATCCACCTTCAGTCCACTTCCCAACTGGATTTTGCCAGTTCACACAGTAAAATCCAGTTGGAAAGTGCACTGAAAGTAGATTGAAAATGGATTATTTAGTGTGTGTGATCGCAGCCTATGAAAGGATGTTTATTCCATCTCGAAGCAGAGGTCTAAATCAAAAGAGTTAGTAGGCTAAGTCAAATTCCTGTGAATCCTAACATTTCTCCTGGCCATAACCTTCCTGGCACTCGCTGTCCTTTGATGGTTACCAGGTGATAGCTCTGGAACATCGGCAGCAGAAGCCACAACATTCTTGACACTGAATGAAGGGATGCAAGAAAAGCACTGAACAATCCACTGCTCATACCAATGCAACCTGTAAGTAGCAAGAATGTGCTTTAGATTGTAGCCACAGGTCCTTCCTCTGTTGAATGAATTCTGAATATGACAACTTTTCCACTTAAAATCTCCATGATTTAAATAATCTCATTTGATGCAGAGGAATCCAAACATGTATGATTAACAGTCCCAACAAAAATTAGAACTTACCCTATAGAAAGCAGTTGTTAATGGCAACAGGGCTGCAGCAATGTTATATTCTTCTGAAGTTGAACAATCCTTCATGGTCAAACCAAAAGAAAAAGAGAGAAAGAATTAATTAACAAATCATATCAATTAGTTCACTTTTAAAACCCTAATTATAAGTCTTTCTACCATACACTTTCCCCAGAGTTTGTGGCCTGGAACCCTGCTCAGTCATGGACAAATGAACACACTTTTCCTGGGGGGGGGGAATGAAAGATGTCCTGTATGGCCCCTTCCAACTCTATGACTGTATGATTCTATATTTCCTGAGCCAACCTGGAAACAGAAAAATTCTTATTTATGAATACTGTCTGTTCTCAGCAACTAGATGTTAAATCATTATTTAGTGCCTACAACAACTATGCACTGCACAAACAGCAATTCATTAGACATGGCTCACAACTGGAAATATATGGAAAGTCAAAGAGGTTAAAGTGAACTTAAGAACCCACTCACACAGTTTTTACATAGACTCTGTTAAAACTTAGCTGTAAGAAGAGAGACAAAGCAAAGTTTCTTGGTATGCACCTCTTTCAATTCTCCCATTTAGACACCCACCATATCTGAGTGCAGTGTTACGCTATTTGAAAATATACAAAGTAATTAAGTTGCTTTATTATGATGTCAGATGCAATTATTGCTGAGCCCATGCAGTGCCATCCTTATTCTGACATTCAGGAACTTCCTAAGGCTTCAGGAAGAAGTCTTTGTCAGTCCTGCTAGCTAAGGACCTTTTAAACACAAAATACTAAGGATTCAACCTGGGACCTCATCCGTGCAAAAGATATACTCTACCGCTTAGGCTTGGATACTTCGCATAGATCATCCCATTTAATGTTGGAGGTTAAGCACCAAACCACGGAGAGAGATAAAGGAGGGGAAAAATCAGAGCATGTGAGAGAAGAAAAGGGACAGGGTCAAAGTAAAGAACATGAGAAAGAAGAATGAGTTGAACAAGAAAGGAAGTAGATGGATCAAATGGATGAGAGATCATTGATTGCCCAGATGTTTAAAGACACTACAAAAATTGGCACTATACAAAAACAGAATTAGTGAGGTCTTGCCACTAGCCTTATAATCTCATAGAACAAATAAATCCAAAAGATCATGAAATCATGTACACTGCAAGGATAGATGGGAAAGAAATCCATCAGAAAGAAAGGGGGTACTAGAAGGTGCAGGATTCTGAGAAGAAAAGGCATACGTAAGGCTTAATCTAGGTATGACACAATGAATCAATTTGGGGGAAACTCTATGGTTTTCCCTCCGATGGTCGCGGCCCCGCCCCCAGCGTGCCCAGCGTCGTCACGTCACTTTCTGGTGACGTGGATGCGGCTCGCGCGCTCCGGGATCAACCCGGGAGTCCCCTGCTCCGGAACAAGGTGAGACTTGGCAACCCTAGAGTCCGATTGCGGAAGCGCTAGTATCCCGTGGCATCTGGTGCCCGTCCACATCCCGTCACAAACCGGATGTTTTTCGTAAGCGCATGCACGCAAACACGTAACTGAAAGCAGTGCTGCTCCGCGGAACTGTGCATGCGCACGAACATGAAATGCTTGCTGCGCTGCTTCTTTGCCACGCTCCAGCATCGCCGTGTGATCACCAGCTAACAGCCTAAGTGCAAAGCCTCAGAGGACCGTGTGATCGGGCTACTGCGCTTTATTTTGCTTTGGGGCAAACAGCCATGCATCCCCCCTGCATTATCCGGACTGTGTGACCGGGGCCTTAGAGTACATTTAAACTCTTATTTTCTGTAACAATAACAGTACTAACCATGGCTGAGGCTGACCCTCCTTAGCAGCCAATTTTGATAAGCTCAGAACAGTCAGGGTTATTCAAGCTGCTAAAACTGAAGAAATAAAATCATGCTGTTGGAGAGTTGTTTATACATAGCTGGATACACTACACAATATTCCTGAAATTCTGATCAGCATTTCAGTACACCTTGAACTCAGTGACTACTGACAAAAGAGAAGCTTTTAAAAGTAAAGATAACCTTCCTCCTTAACTAAAGCTGCTGTTCACAACGCACTGTTCCATTCTGTTATAGATTTATTGAAATGACTGAAATTCCTTTTATTATCAAAACATTCATTAATGCCTTTCCCATTTATCTGTGAATTTGGCACTTGTGTCCTCCAATCAGCTAAATGGTAAGAACGAAACATATATATGAAGAAACCACTGTACAGCTTAACATTCAATCAACTTCAGAGCTACAAATAGTTAATCAAAACACCTATGCAGGTAGTTGTTCCGCGGGACAAGTAACTTGTTACTTGACTGACTGAATCAAAAGGCCAGAGCTGGCTTTCTATGGGCCACCTAATTAATCTGTATGGTAGTTTTTAAGTTCTAATAAGTGGGAAATGTAGG